AAAAAAAATCTTCAATAATTAATTTTTATATGGTACTGCATATAGTTTTGTCAAACATAGTTGACCGAATACCCCAACGATTCATGTGCTAAGGTTTCATTAGCCATGGATCAAGCTGGGGTCATGACTTTAAAGAGCCGAGCCATACAAATCGTTAATAAAACGATATGCCAATGAACTAATTGTGAAATTTTGTAATAAATATACTGAGCAGTGGTATTATTCTAAATAGGCTATGTGCAAATATCGAAGATTTAGGGTTGCTACCGGTATGTTACAAACTCAATTTATGCATAATAGTTGATAGTTTTTTTTTAAGCCCCGAGGCTGCACCCAACCTTGCCAGGACAATGTACTATATCGATATTACACAATATGAAATATATTTACTGTTATTGAATAAACAAGTTTATTGTTTTGAAAACTGACCAAAATTTTCCAAATATTAACATAAGTATTGTGTTCAAAATCAGTCATTTGAAAGATCACATCTTGAATTTTTACTTCTTTTCAGGAAAAATTTAGTTATCTAAAATGAGTTCATCAAAATCTGAAGAACCATTAATTGAAGATCAAGGTCAAACTAGGATTTCGATCAATGATCCTAATCCGCACGGAGGAAAAAAAATTGATTATTATGTTTTATCCCCAAATATGCGATGTATTGCGACTTTGAATGAAGAAGATAAATCAATTGTTGTATGGAGCATTACGGATGAACTTATTGTCAAATATTATGAATCATTAAACATTAATGATCTTGAAAGAGTATTAAGCACTTATGAATCCTCTTCATGTTTTAAAATTGAAAATGTGTTTACAGGCTACAACTTAAAAGGAATTTCAGATTGTAAACACGTAATATTAAGGACGTATGTTACTGATACTTGTGAAACTGATTTTGGTTAGTTAAAATTAATTGATTGCTAAAGTTTAATTATATTTTATATTAATAAAGTTTATTTTACAGTAATTATTGACATTACAACTAAATTAAAACAGTTATTAAGTGCGCAAGGTCTAAAGGGAATGACTGAAACTTTGACCTTTTTAGAAAATGGAGATCTGGCAATTGTCAAAGGGAAACCTATTTATCGGGCCTATATCTTTTCAAAATCAAAGCCTAATAGCGAACATCAGTGAACATGTAAAAACAGCATTGAACTCGAAAAATTTGAAATGTGCTCTATTCTTAAAAACGGAAAATTGTTTATATGTTTTGATAGGCCAAGTGTAATCATGCAATGGGACTTAATAACTCAGAAGTTTGATATGCAATTTATAGTAAATTGGAACTTAATCTTTTCTGGGTTGCGAATGAAGCTGAATAATGACAATACATTGTTGGCAGTAACTAATTACTACGGACAATTCTTTTGTATTTATTCGACAAAATCCGGTATAATGTTGGCAAATAGTAGGTATTTTTATGTAAAATTATTATTTATAAATATCGATATTAAAATCAAAATTATTAATTTATAAAACAATTTAGAAAATTTTGACGAGGTGTTGCATAATTTCTGTTTTATTGGATCAGGAAAAGAAGAATGTTTGTTTTTTTCTGGCCCGAATCATGGAACAGAGAGTTATAACTCTTATATATTGAATCCACACACATATATACTTGATAAGCTTCCTGACAATAATGTCTTACATGATATTTATCCTGCAACATATCAAAATTATGAGTCAATAGGTAATATAATCTCTGGTTATAGTATAAAAACTGATACAAATCATTTGACGATTCAAAGATTGCCTCAAAATGAAAATTGGAAAAATTATTTAGAATGTAAAGAGCGTTATTACGATAATATATATACATATTTCAATACAAAAGAAATTATGCAATTTATACAGACTATTTTGGAAAAGTATAAAAAGTATGAGTCAAATCAAATTTTAATTCAGGATTACCCAAATGAACCTGAAGTACATCATAGTGAGCCATGCATTTGGATTATTGAGTACAAAAAAAATAATGATGGAATATTGAAAATACATTTAAAAGCCCAAATTGAATCTGGTAAAGAAATTAATGTAAAATCATTTCTTTTTTATTCTGGTATTTTTGAAAAAAAAGTGCTTAAAAATGGTGACATATTGTTGGCTCTCTGTTCTTGCATACAAATTTATACAATAACTTCAGTAAAAGATTCTAAAAATTTTGAAGGGAAACTAATTTATTGTTGGAGGGAAAAAGATTATGTTGCACAAGAAACACCAAAACTTTTCCTTAATCTTCTTACTTCATTTAAAAATACCTTGAATTTGAAGTTTTACTATTTTGGCCTTGAAATTTTACCACCGCCAGCTTTGGTAACACATGTTCAAAGAGGAGAAGGAGCTTGGTTTTCTTGTAAGTTAAACTATGAGGAATCAACATTATTAAAATTATATGGAACATATATATATCATAAATTACTTCATGAGCTATCTATATGGGACAGGGAAAGAAAAATTGATGGATTACTTAATCATTGTTATAATTATAAACTGTCGATGCTTAAAAGTTATGATATTTATAGCTTTACGTTAATCATTAGCCAAATTGCTTTTACCTTAGTAGAGTTAGAAGAATATAATAGAAATCAAAGATTTACAGAAAAGTTTTTATCAAACATTAATATGTTGGTTGGCCATATTCATTCTGATTATTATTATATTGAAAATGATAATTCCTTCTTATTCAATTTTCAACATTGTAGATCCTATGTTAATTCGCATGATTTATTTAATACTTCATTTTTTAATTACTTGTTTTTTTGGATTTCTGAAAAATGGGATCTTTTAAAAAAATCTTATCCTCGAATTTAGCGTTTCCTTATTTGATATATTCATCTTATTTTATTATTCCTTCTCAAGAAACTATAATTTTAATGTTTCCATTATTAAATTTTGCCACGTATCCCCCAAAATATTCTTATAATGAACTATTTTATATAAAGGGTAATCCTTTTACTTTACTACTAGATGCTCCTGATTATTATAAATGGTGGAATATTAAGGCACTTATCAACTTCAAGTGGTGCACCTATGGAAAATTTTATTATTTTATAATATGGGCAATATATTCTATTTTTATGTGCTGTTTTTTAATTATTTCAACAATTCCAGAACATGAAATTTCTTGGAATAATCAATTAATTCTTTTGATTGCAACCATTTTTTTTAGATTTATTCACTTTATTTTTGAAGTTCATCAATTTGTCCATAAACCTATAGTATATATTACTAGTCTTTGGAATTGGTTTGGTATATAAATTTAATTTAATAATTTATAATTACCGTAATCAAAATTTTATTATTACTAATATTTTTAACTTTATAATTTAATTTTTTCATATTTTTTTTAATTATAGATCTTGCTGCAATATTATTTCCAACAATAACTTCATTAATATGGTTATATGATAAAACACCACCAATTTGGATTATAACCTTTGCCGCTTTTTTACTTGAAATTAAATTTTTATTATTTTTCCGTGCTTTAGAATACTTTGGAACTTATTTTGCAATTATGATTGGAGTAGCGCAAAAAATCTTTTCTTTTCTTTTTGTTTTAGGTATTATGGTTTTAGCTTTTGCTCATTCTTTGCATCTTTTACTAAGACCTACTAGCGAATATTCTTATGATCAGCCAAGTTATACTGATGATATTAATAATCCTTGGAATCTTGTTTCAACATATAAATTTATTTCATCTAATGATACTGTTGGAGGAACTTCTTTTATTGAAACTCCAGATGACAATACAAATTTATTTTCATTGTTTAGTACTTCTATTTTAGCTGTATATTTTATACTAACAGGTACTGTATACATATAATAAACTAAACAAAAATTTGCCAAAAAAAATTAATTTTATCTTTATTTTAGGGATACAAGTTCAGTTTCTTCATGGGTTTTAAAAGATAATTGGGTTTTGGCAATTTTGTTAGTTATATTTTCATTTTTTACAACAATTTATTTATTAAATTTATTTATTTCATTACTTGGAAATGCTATTGATGAAACAAATAATGAGGAATCTTTTTTACAACTAAGAGGAGAGGTAAAAATTTTTATTTAGTTATAATTTAAAAGTAAGCTAAATATATTAATATACTTTTACTATTAGATATTATCTGAAATTGAGCTTTTTTGGATATTGCCTTATCAAAGAAGAAAGAAAAACTGGTTTCCAGAAATATTGTAATTAATTTTTAGTTAATTATATTTCAAATATTATGCTATTAAATTAATATATATTTTGAAATTCTAGATATTACAAAGTTTCAGTTAATGAACTTAAAAAATATGTAAGGAGTGTTGAAGATAAAGGAAGCCTTCCTTCTGAAATTAAGAAAATTACTAAATTTGAAGATTCTGAAGAGACATTACAAAATAAAATAAATGATATAAATGATGCATTGACAAAAATGAATGAAACATTACCAAATCAAATAAATGAAACATTGACGAACAAAATGAATGAAACACTGACGAATCAGATAAATGAAGCAATAAAAAATCAAATAAATGAAACATTGACAAACAAAATGAATGAGACATTGACGAATCAAATAAATGAAGCAATAACAAATCAAATGAATGAAACATTAAAAGATCCACTAGATAAAATTAATAAGTTAATTGAACTTATTGAAAAAAAGGATTCAGAATGATAATTCTTTTAAAAACAATATGGATAGCAATGTTACAATAGAGTGGCATTATATGTTACTTTAGTTGCTATATAGTATTGTTCTTATATAGTTGCTTATAGTTGCTCTTTTTTTTTTTTAATGTCTTTATTTTTCTATTTAAAATAAATATCTATTTAAAATTCGATAAATAATCAATACTGGCAATTGAAGTTTTTATTATTTTATTTTCGTGATCAATACGAGACCAAAGAGTCACTATAACTATAATACACAATCAATTGCAAAGATGGCTCTTAAGCAATTTCCCTTATTCCTATTATATACGTACAACTTAATTTCTAGAATAACGATAATGTATCCTGAATTTGTGGAACTACAAGATTCTCAGAATACATACTAAAAATTTTTAAATTTGTACTAGTTGAAGACTGCAGTGCCTTCTGTCAGAATTTGGTTAAAATGCTGTATCACATAACGATAAGGACTTAACCAAAATTTTAACGGCAAGGGTTAAAAAGCTATTTCTGTAATTTCGAATTTTGGCCTAAATTAAGCCTAATTCGGGCCAAAATTCGAAATTACACCCCTACACGTTATTTTGCGCTTATACGGTATTAATTATATGGAGATTTTAAAATGATTTTTAAATACGAATGGGAAAACAGTGAATTAATAAGTTGCTTTTAAATGTCTTAGAGTCGACACAAGCATAGATAAGAAACTATTAAGAAATTTATTAATGAGGTATTATTTGTTAAATTGAAACTATAATTGCATCCTACTATAGAATGATAAATTCATATATTATAGAGTGTTCTCAAGTGCCTTAATCGATGGGTCAAAAGTGTCAAGAAATAAATTTCGCTTAACAAAAAATATTTTATGTGGGTCAATTGTATTTATTATAATGGATATTTAAATCATGTTCGCAACTTGATAAATTTTATTACGTAATTTGGGGGTTTTTTTTTATCTTTGGCTAGGCAAAATTTACAATTAATCGAGAATCCAAAGAGATCGCTCAACAAACTTTGTCATGATCCTCATTCTCGAAATCAACGACCGAATTATTATATTATTCCTTACACTAAAAGTTTTCATGGAAAAATAAAAATATGAGAAAGCCTGAAAAAACATTTGATGTTTACCATCTCTTAGCTTTATTCATATGACAACTAATTCAATTATTTTATTAATAATTTCTTCAGTTTGAACTATATACAACCCAATATCAATTCTTAACTAAATTTTTTCTGTATTTAATTATTTTTTATTTATATTCGATCATATTTGATAAATAGAAGAGTAAAAAAAACTGCACAAATACCAATTATGATCCTTATTTTAATTAATTATATTAAATGAGCATTGTTCTATCACTAGTTAAAAATATACAATTTAAGTCTATAAATATTTACTATTTATTTCTTTGTTCATGTTAGTTTTAGATTTTATTTATTCAGGTTAATTTGGATCTTCTTTTATTCATATTTAGTCTGTGAGTATAAAGAATATTTATTGATCTAACAATTCAAGTTCGTGAATATTTACTATTTAATTTCATTTCATTCATGTATTTTACATTTATAAGATAAGCATGAATAAAATAGATAATTATTATACAGTATGTACAGTACACATTGTAATAGCATAAATAAAACATGATAGAGAAGTATTTTTGGTGTTGAGAAAATGAATATCAAAGAAATTGTTATTGAAGAACTAGAGAAATGAGTGGAATCTCTTATGATATTTATTACTGGAAGCCACTAAACGTTATTGGAACACCCTTCCAGTGAAATCGGCTATTAGAATCTGATATATTTCCAATTTCCATTGGAACAACACTGTCTTAATATGACCAATTTTAATAAAAATTTTATCCCAATTTTTATTGATATCTAGGCTAAGGTTAACAATTAGGTGGCCGGATTTTGTATTGCCGGTAATTTCTAAATTAAGGTTAGATTTTCATATTC